AGCGTAAGTCCTTCACCTATCATCGGTTTACTCCAGGTACATAAAATTTTTTTATGTGATTTTAATATTTTGTGATGTAAAATTGTAAAATTCAAGATCATTCCAAACCAACTACAATTTATATTTTATTGTTCGTTCATATTTTATAATTGTTTGTTTTTCTCACAAGAAACTTATTAATAATTATTAATAATTATTATTTAATAATTATATGTTAAATTATTTATTTATTAATGAAATGCTAAATATAAATTAATCTGCAATTTTTTAAGTAATGTTAATAATTATTGAATAGTGTCAAAATGCAATTTACTAGAACATGTTACAAATAATTGAATCTATGAAAATTTGTACATTTGTACATAATATAGTTAGGAATTTCAAAAATTTTTCTCTTCAATCCTGCACGCTTTCATATTAGGACAAGAAAGGTTGGCTGCATTAAAAATAGCTTTTTTTTAAATGCATTTTTCAGACCAATTAGCCAACCATTTTTTTTGGAAATTCAAACTTTTAAATTAAAAAATCTGATGTGGTCAGCACATAACCGACCGCATTGTGTATTGTCTAGTTAAATGAAAGTGTTACAGAATATTATAAAAATGTCTGTTAAATACTTCTTTCCTATTTTAGGACATTAGTAAGCTTATAGTTAACATACTTAGAAAAATGTAAATTTGGCTCTTAGTAGAGTTTCGCTTTGTGCAACCCGAATTCCCTGAAATGCTCGCCAGTTAGTTTCGGTAACAACCAGAACTCAAATATCAAATTTCAAGAAATTCCATCAATTTGTTCTGTGGATATGGTGAAAAATGTAAAATCGGCCCGCAAATCAGTTCTCGAGCCCTGATATTTCCAAAAAAGTTATGTGTTCATTGCTTTAATATGAGGAATTCATATATTAAATTTCAATGAAATCGGTTGATTATTTCTCTTTATATACACAAAAGTGTATGTTTGGCCCATAGTAAACGTCTAGTTGCCGATGCCTGATATTTCCAAAAAATTTACATGTTCATTGTTTTAATACGGGGAATTCATATATTAAATTTCAATGAAATCGGTTGATTATTTCTCTTTACATATACAAAAATGTATATTTGGCCCGTAGTAAACGCCCAGTTGCTGATGCCTGATTTCTTCCAAAAGTAAGGAATTTTTGCGTATGATCGAGCAAAGCTTATATATGAAATTTCAAGTAAATCGGTTGAATACTTTCTTCAAAATGGTGAAAAGTGTAAAATCGGCCCGCAAATCCGTTTTCGAGCCCTGATCTTTCCAAAAAATTTATATGTTCATTGTTTTAATACGAGGAGTTCATATATTAAATTTCACTGAAATCGGTTGATTATTTCTCTTTATATACACAAAAATGTATATTTGGCCTGTAGTAAACGTCTAGTTGCCGATGCCTGATTTCTTCCAAAACATACGAATTTTTGCGGACGGTCGAGCTGAGCGTATATATAAAATTTCAAGTAAATCGGTTGAATATTTTCTTCAAAATGTTCAAAAATGTAAAACAGGCCCCCTAAAAAGTGCAGTTCCCGAGGCCTGATATATACCAAAAGTTGATCGATCCGTGCCACGGTGGAAACAAACTTACATATAAAATTTCATCAAAATCGGTTCAGCCGAACTTGAGATACACGCGTGCACACACAGACCGACAGACCGACAAACGGCCAGACCAACAGACCGACAGGTTGCTAAAAATAGTTTATTTACACTTCCCTACTATGGAGAAGTACGTTCCCACCGAAAACTCGATATGCAAAATTTGTTGCCATCACATAACCTACATACCTATTGTTTACACAATACGGTCGGTAAAAAAATATGTAAAATAAGTAGAGTTAAAAATATTAATCAATTTCTAATTACTCTCTGAGCTTGGTGGCGTGATAGATATATTTAGCATATTTAATGCGTTTCTCTATATTAATAAAATAAAGGAACAAAAGCTTTCAAGAGAAATATTCTCTCAAAGTAATTTTTTAGTAAAATATGCATATCTAGTATTTATTGTTACAAAGCTAAAAATGAGTCACATTCGACAACTGAAATCTGTTAGATAAGTAAAGTTGTGACATCTCACGACTTAGCGAGATTACCACTTCCTTTCGAAATGATAGTTTATTCCTATATAAAATTTGGTACGATCTAAAATATCTTGTTTACCTATAAATCATACCGTATGTTTTAAATTTTTATTTTTCTTTTGTTCACAAAAGTAGTTTGTATTTATAGCATTAAAAATGTCAAATGTCTCGCATTAAAAAATGTCAAATACGATATGAATAATTATTTTAAATGCTCGCGACGCTAAAGCTTTCATGACTTTTTTAGACCATTTATTGATTGAAAGTTATTTAAATTTGTATCATAATATTAAGAACTAATATGGTGGGATATTTTCATCAGCCGATTCTCAAGAGCTTCTAAAAAGTACTTCTATCATTGTTTGACCTGCATTTTTAGTGCATAATTTATAAAGACATAATTTAAGAATAATTTGTAGTATGTTCTAGAAAAAACACTTCAGGGGCCTGTTTTACCAGCATTAGTCGTTTCAGCCATATTTAAAAAAAGTGAAAGAAGAAGGAGAAAACATTAAAGAGACCGCAGAAAATTTATGTTAGAATCTTTTACAGATTTTACTATTCGTTGAATTAATAATATTGAGTTCGTTATTGTAACGCTAACTTTATTTATTTTAAACAAAAAAGTTATAACTTAAGATACTGCAGTAAGATAAGAAGAGTATTAAAAACAAGTGCTGGGTATTCAAAGTTAATATACCCTTCGCGAAGGGTATATTAACTTTGAACTCCCACTCCCATACAAGTCTAAAAGCTTATTCTTAATATTTGAAAAAATAATAAAGTCAGATTCATGAAACTTGGCAGTTGTGTGTCCGATTATAGATCAGATATATTTGTGAAGCTTTAATGGAATTGCTTGACAGGTTCGGGTACTTGCCATACAACTCCAAAAGCTTATTTTACATATTTGGAAAAATAATGAAGTCAGATTTATGAAACTTGGCAGTTGCATGTCCGATTATAGATCAGATATATTTGTGAAGTTTTAATGGAATTGATTGACAGGCTAAGCTTCTTGCCATACAACTCCAAAAGCCAATTTTAAATATTTGGAAAAAATATAAAGTCAGATTCATGAAACTTGGCACAGTCGGATGTCCAATTATAGGTCAGACATGTCCGTGAAGTTTCTATAGAATGATGTCACAGGTTCGAGTAATTGCTGCACAATAACGAAAGGTGCAGGGTATAATTCAATCAGTTTATACCGACTGAAACGCTTTTACTTGTTTTTATTGGACTTTTGCATTTTTTCTCAAATCATCGACTAAACGTCTCACAGTCCAAGAGAATAAATTTTGTGTATATTTTAGAAAAAAACGACATACGCAATATAGAATATTATAGTTACTCATTTTCTTCTCACCTGCTGAGTAAAATAGCGAAACAAAGGATCAACTTTTGATTATAACAGCACAATTATGATGAGTGATACATACAGTGGATTAAAAATAAATTTGGGTTAAACCAATGGTTTGTATTGATTGAAGAACTTTTCCTTTCAACAAGTGAAAATACTGCTTTTAAATACAGTCTATGTATATCTACCACGCCATTTAAATTATTTTCATTCATATACGAAACTATTTCTAGGTATTCTTAGTATGCATATATTTAAGGTAAACGATTTATGCAGTCTTTGAAATAAAGCAAAAATTAATTTAAAGAGGGGTTAACATAATGCTCGATTTTAAGGGTTAATTGTGTGAATTTAGGAAAATAATCATATTTTTAGCGTTAGCTTTTTGCGTTTTTAGAAATTTGGAAAAGCTTGTGATTCCGGAAATACAAGGCGTCAAAAATTCAAATTTTACAAATTTCAAGAGGTGGTAACTTGAGAGGGGTAGAGGTGGAAAAAAATTTTCCTCCAACGAAATGAACTAGTTGTTAGTGTCTAAAAGCTGATAAAATTTCAGGCTTCCAGAATCTGCCACTGCCTTTCTGCCTTTGTAAAGTTTCACAAATGCTTATGGTTTCACTGCAATAAATAGTTAGTTACAGTGGTCGAAGTGGGATACTCAAAGTGGTGGGATGGTAAAAAAAAAAGTATTATTTTAGTTATTTTTTAAAAAAATAACTCAACAAAATTTTCCAAAAAAATATTCTCGTTAGTTTACTTCCAATCTTTGGAAGTAAACTAACGAGAATATTTATATTCAAAATTAAATCAACTAAAAATTGAATCAAAAACTGTGCAAATTGTTACCAAAGAAATGCATATACTACTATGTAGTAACGAAAATTTCATTAATAGAAAAAAATTATACGTTACTATTTGAAATTGGTCTTATTTAAAATTACATATGTATATGTATTTAATTTTTTGTTAAAAAAATTTTTAAAATTCATTAGAAAATGTTCTTAAATTTGAAAAACATGTTCCGGAACGCATTTTTCTCTCCTATTAAGTGGTGGGGTGGATTTCCAATTACTTAAAAGTACTAGGATAGCATCCCGCTCCATCCCGCCTCACTTCGAGCACTGGTTAGTTAGAAAAATGGCATTTTTAGGGTTTTTGGGGGGTATAACTTTTAAAGGAGGGGAGATATGTAAAAATTATGTTCTACGAAAATTAATTTCTAGTAAAGATTTATGTACATGTTTCAGATTTCTATCTTCAAGAGTGTAGAAGTTTTGTAAACATGTCCACGGACGAAGGACGGACTGACGGACGAATGGACAGGGTGAAACCAATAAGCACTTCCATCGAAAATTTTTTGGGGAAGTGTTAAAAAACCTTACAGCTGTAAAGCTTAATTTTTAATGAAAAAAGTTCACTTTGTACTATAAAATATAGCCACTTTTTATTCATTGGAGTAACACATGATCGAAAGAAAAAATAGATAAGTTTAGTTTACGACAAAAACTCAAAAAAAGGCGCTGTAAGTATTTATTTATTGTTTATATTTCCTTTATAATCATAAATATGGGTGCAAAATTTCCTGATTAAAAATAATTGCAATCTATTAAATATTATATGGGATTACATACACAACATACACATATATTTGAAAACGGTTTAAGTTGTGAACTAATTTATAATCATATTTATATGTATACAATATTGTATTATCATTATGAAATTTTATATTATCTTAAATTTAACCCGGATTTGATTAGCCATAATCAAAGTAATCTTGATCAGTTATTATTGTTCAGAATATTTTTCATTTCATTTGGATCAACTTGTGATTCAGTTTCCCACTGTAGAGGTGGCATTATTATTGGCTCACGAGCAGGAACATCCTCAGGAGTGATTCCAGATAATTTTACTGGCAATTTGTTTACTTTTGTTTGAAAAGGAAAAAAATTTCGCGGATCAGTTATAGCATGATTATGGCGTCGGATTTTAGCGCCCATTGAAATGTCAACGGTTGCTCCAGGTACATGTGTAAACTTCCCATTCCATCCTTCACATTTAACTGGTATGTAATCGTCTCTTTTTTTTATTGGCATTCTGTAATTTTTTTTTCGTAAAAGTATTAGCAGTGTAGAAAAAAATACTTTTTTCAATAAAAATTATGTATCTGTGTGAGCTTTTCTAAAATACGTTTGTTTTCAGTGAGCAGCGGTTAAATACTAATTTATTTGAACAGAAAAATTTTTTTATGAAACATTTTATATTCAATTGTATCAATACGTATTATTGTATACTAATAAATTTATATTCTATTGTTTTAAATTATAAAACGGAAAACATATTAATTAAAAACGCCAACATAAAAAAATTGTACATTTCCTTTTATTCAATAGTAGACGAAAACTCTTTTCTATTATTCATATCGTTAGTTTGTTATTAAGTCAAATGTATTTAAAAAAAAGTACACCGTATTTGTAAAAGTGTAACAGTAACTTAAATAATAATTCACAAAACAAAAAATCTAAAACTAAACTTTTTTACCGATCTGCGATTTTCAATTTGTTCTGTTATAGTTAATGAAAAATTAACTAAATTTTAAACTGAGCTAAAAATTTTCTTACATTATGTGTCTGCAGTATATTACATAACGTACATACGAAATAGAAAGACGTAGTAGGATATTTTACACTTCTTCACAATATTAAAAATATGTCACGTTACTTATAGACATCACGCTTATTACACACATTGTACATAAAATCTATGAGCAGAGAACTCAACCAAAGTATGCGTTTTTTGCTTGTGTATATTATTTGTATATGTATGTATATTAGAGTGCAATTGTGTCTAATACGTTTCGCTGTCCAAATTTTAAAAATTTTATAGGCGGTTTTTCTTGAGTATTTTTGAAACTTATTGCAGACATTTTAATCGTTATGTTGCTTTTTAAAGCGGAGTTGTCAAATAACCTTTTCAAATTTCATTTACTGTATAGTTTATAGAGTTACTGTATAGTTCATATTTTGTTACTTCAATTCAATTCAATAAATTTCGATTCCAAAATAAATCCAAACTTGAAATAATTAAAAGTAGGTATTTATGTATTCACAACAAAATTGACTTAGCACTGCATTATGTACATAAATTCAATTTCAACTTCAATTCAATTCAAATAAACTTTATTCATTCAAGTTGGTATAAAAAAAAATACAATCATCTTAATACATATATTAAATACAATATAGTAGAATTACATCTAGTACACTAGTAAATTATACAAAAAAAACAAAACAAGATATTTTTTCTATTTTTTAAAATTGGAATTTACAATAAAGTTTTAATTTTAATTTATAAGTATAAAATAATTCAGATTATACATATTTTATGATATTGTACATAACTGCAATTTTGTATATTACAATAATTTCAAATTTTATGTAATAAACTTTATTAATTCAATAGTTAATTTGACATCAACTAAAAGAGTAAGAAAAGCATTAAATAGTTCATGAACTAGTGTCTAATGCCAATATAAGAAGAGAATGACTCTTCTTCTTTTTGTGAGGCCTTTGTCTATATAAAAGCAAAACAAAAACAACGGAAACTAAACAAAAAATAATAAAAATTAAAAAAAAATGAAAATTAATTCACGCTAAAGTTATTAACAAACTCCCAATTTCACTGTGATCAAAATTCAACAGCCAAGATTTTACTCTAGTAAGAAAAATGTTTTTTTGCCTGATTAAACGAATAGATTCCGGTAAGACATCAAATAAACGAGAAGACACAATATCATAAAAGTTCCGATAATTTGTAGTTCGAAATATTGGAACAATTGCAAAGAATTTCTCATTAGAACGTAACCTATAGGTATTCGAAATTCTACTGTTAAGATAGCCACCTCTCGTAAAAAAAATTTTTAATACTTTATAATAATATAACTGCCTAACAGGAAGAATCTTTAGAGTTCTAAATAATTCAATACTATGAGAATATCTGTGCTGGGCGCAAATATCTCTGGTAACAGATTTTTGCAAAATCAATAGAGTGTTAATTCTATTTCTGTAGGCGCTTTTGATATAAGCTTTTGGACTTGTATGGGAGCTACTCGAACCTGTCAAGCAATTCCACCAAAGCTTCAGAAATATGTCTGAGCTATAATTGGACACACGACTGTCAAGTCTCATGAATCTGACTTTATTATTTTTCCAAATATTTAAAATAAGCTTTTAGACTTGTATGGAAGCTACTCGAACCAGTTAAGCAATTCAACTAAAACTTCAGAAATATATTTGACCTATAATTGGACACATGACTGCCAAGTTTCATAAATCTGATTTTATTATTTTTCCGAATATAAAAAATTTGCTTTTGGAGTTGTGTGGCAGCCACCCGAACCGGTGTAGTTATCCCATTCTAATTTTTACAGCATGTATAGAATATAATTGGACATATATATACAAAATTTTATATTTATAGCTTTATTTGTTTTTGAAATATTTAAAATAAACTTTTTGAGTTGTATGGCAGCTACCCGAACCCGTTATCCGAATTGGTCCAATAACAATAGGGTTCGCCCTTGGCACAAACGAAAGAACTTGTGAAAGGTTGGTGTCGATTGCATTATTGGTTTTTGAGTTATCGTGCGATCGGACGGACGAACGGACATAGTCCAAAAGAGGACCAGCGTCGAATATCCTCCTAAAGTTAAGACATATAAATTAATAAAATGAAGAAAAACTGATATAACTGAAAGTAGATATATTTGGGGGTAGTATAAACATACCGCATATAAAAAGAAGAAGGAAGAAAGTTCAGTGCAAACAATTCAGGTGATATGAATGATCAAGAGTTCTAAAACCGAATTAATTACGCTTATACCCTATTTCAATTTTCAATGTCATTATAATTCTTCTAATTTCAAGTGGTAATCTGTTAAACATTCTAGGAGAACAAATAGTAAAAAGCCTATATAGAAGGCCTTCGAACAAGGAGGAATTATGTATAGCAAAATTATGCAAATTGCTTCGTAATTTATAAATGAAGAGAAACTTTTCAGGAAAGCACTCCTACAAAAAAAAATTTTGTAGGAGTGCTTTCCTAAATTTAGATTTATAATAAAACTAGTGTCTAAGTTAATATGCCGAGTTCATTACAAAGTGCGGAACTAATATAGGGGGTTTTCGTTTATTCAGTTTAAAATAGTTCCTGCTTGTAGTACGTTCAAAAATTCACGCTACATACACTGAAAATATAGATCGTTAGGAAATTACTGGCTGTAGTAAAAATGGCAGATTCAGATATTGAAGGGTTATTAGAGTAAGTTTTCTTTAAGTCTTTAAATCTTGTTAAAATTTCCTTGTTTTGCAAGGTATTAGAAAATGAAAATATTGGTATACTATTTCATGTATTGGTATACTATTTCATGAACAAAGTCATTTCTGTTATTTTTGACCGGTTGATTATTTAAAAGTTGCAGAATTTGTAGACTACTTACTACGACAAAAAAAAAAACTTAGAATGAATTAGTTTTGCACTCTGCGCCGAACGTTCTACTAATGTAGAACTAATGTAGAACTTTCAGCGCAGAGTGCAAAAACGAAAAAGCCCATAGTATCTACCATACAGTTTTGCATATTATTCATAAAATAATATGCAAATGCAACCATAATATATTAATAATATATTAGAATGCAATTCACAAAACTTTTCTGGAGCAATATTTTTTTTGTAATAAAATTGCGTACAACGAAACTAAGCCCGAGAGAGATTCAGTATGACAATGAGAGATTCAGTATGACTTTTAAGAGATTCAGTATGCCAGTTTAAATTCTTCTCCACGTAGATACCCAAATATTTAAACTTATCTACAACCTCAATAGCGAAGAAATTTTCATTAAAATATTTATGGAAATTAAATTGAAATTATCTAGCATACAAAAGAATCTTTTACACCAAGAGACCTAGAATCAAACCAAATATTACAAAGAGCCAATTAAATTATAAAACATAGTTTTTGTTTTTTGACTGACCATCAATTTATGATTTCCACACCAAAGCATTAAAAGTTCAATATCATGATTAATATTCATAATAACATCCATCAGAGGTTGCACCAGAAAAAGAACACGTTATATCATCTGCGGAGGTAGTTAGCTTACTTTTGAACCAAATTTTTAAAACGACTTTTATATAGACGAAAAAGAGAATTGGTCCCAAAGGGCCCTGAGGGACACCAATGTCCAAAACTACTGATTTGACCATCAGTTTTTATCTTTCGAGACCAATTTTACAAATAAAACTTAAGCCAGTCATATATAGAGCCCTTGAATCCTAAAAAATGCTTAATAAACTGCAATGATTTTATGAAAAATTTTTATGATTCACGGTATCAAAGACTTTAGATATGTCCACAAAAAGACTAGCCGTTACCCTAGCATTATTAACACTGCAAAAAACATTCTCACAAAATTTTAACTAAACATTTTCACAAGATTTACCTTTTCTAAAGCCAAAGTGACTGTCATCGAACTGACTCTTCTAAAGTCAGTCAAATTGACTGAAATTTATTTTATTTAGAAAAACAAGCATTCTAAACTAAACAATTTTTTCAAGGATTTTTGAAAACATTGAGAAAATGTAAATCGGTCTGTAATTACCAATGTCGCAACGCCTACCGTTTTTATAAAGGGGGAGCATTACAGCAGACTTTAATATGTATATTTTTAAAAAAATTTCACAAAAAAATACATTAATTAAAATTGTTATTATTATTATTGCTCATGTTCACCACATTTGAAAACCTCTTTATGTTGAGCTACACTATTGAAAATCGGAAAACCTAGATTCTTATAACAATCCCTCAAGCGCAGATTATTAGCATGCCACTTTCATTTCTTACGTTCAAGTTATTTCTTAATTTCCTTCCAAAAGTTTATTTGATAACCAAGATTTAAATTTTTATCGACAAATGAACCCCAGCCAACACCAATTAAACATGCATTCAAGTGGCCATCCAGTATAGACAAAAAATTATCGAAAACAAATGTACCATTATTTTCCTCACATGCACTAATCTAACATTTATATCGAAGCATATCATTTAACTTAATAAACTCTATTGTTTTTTCAACGCGATTGGATTGAAACATATTTTGACCTAACAAGTAAAATATTAAGTAGTAGAGATGTCGTATAATGGTCAGAAATATTCATTT